GTCGGGATTTATTTGATGATTTTTGGTTTCCGTTGCAGCCTCCTCAGGACAAACGCCGGGTCTGTCAGCGCGCCAGGCCCGGGCAGAGCCGAGCAGGGGAGCAGGAGGAGGGCTGGGTGTGCAGGCGGTGCTGGAGGACACGTTTTGGCTCTGTCCCCTCACCCCGCCGTGTGCCCGACGCATGCATTGAGGCAGGTGACTCACACCCTGCTCAGAAACCACAGGAGTCAGGACACGGGGGAAATTTGGGCACCTCAGTCTTCAAAACCCACTTCCTCCAGCCTCTGGGTGACATCTCCCAGGGCACCATTCCTGAGGAGTAACTCACCGAGTTTTCCAGGGTGATTATCCTCCCTGGCTCGCGTTCCTCCTCTCCACACGTTTGATTTAGTTGGCGTTGGCCAAATACACCAAAAAAAAACCCAGTTTATTTTGAGGAAAAGTGCTTCTGGCTCCTGCCAGAAACATCTGCAGGAACGAGCTGGCCTCTCTACCCTTGTGTACAGTTCAAACCCGAGCTCATTAAATATTTACACCTCGTCCCGTGGATCTTCTATCCGTGCAGTCCTTGCGACAGCACAAGTGTTTGCAAACCCCCTTTGGCCGCGGTTTCTCCACTAACCCTTCCAAGTGCTCTTTTACCCCCACAGCCATCCCGGCAGCACCCGCCTGCCTGTGGAGATATGTCATGGAGGGACAGAAATAGCAGAGGGTTTTGGGACTGAGTCCCAGCTGAGGCTGGAGGCCAGAGCGTTGGGGTTACTGCAGGTAAAACTCTTGTGTTTACTCTACATGGGCAGGAGAGATTTTTATGTATTTAAAAAAAAAAGCAACATGTGAGCAGAGCCTCCACCCTGCAGGGCAGCAGCACCAAAGGATTCTCCTCTGGCAGCGTTGGCTCTTGGAGGCTGTTGCAGGGGGGGGTATAAAACCCTGCCAGGGAGGGCTGGGGTTTCATCTGCTGCAATAAATAGAGCAACAGCCCCTCTGTCACCGCTGAGTCCCTGACAACGCTTGAGATTGACATCCCCAGAAAGCACTGGTGTTTATTCTGAGTGCTCTCTCTGATTCCCTTGGAGTTCCCCCTTCTTGTTGGAGTTAACCTCATCTGTTTGCCTGATGTCTTGGAAAGGG